TTTGAACTTGGTGTTATTTGATATTTCAATAAATTTGATATTTTGGCCAATTTCGTTATAGTTTTTTGACAAGTGGGGCTTGAAAATTCGCCCACCCTCTTAATTGGGGAATGACAGAAAATGTTTGAGAACCACTGGCTTAGGTAGTTAAAGCTAAAATGGGTCAGTAGTTGTTTTTTGTTGTTGCTTTTACAAAAATCTTTTTTCTTCAATTTGAACTTCTTTATTTGAGAGTCTGTCAAAACATTGTTTATAAACATTTTTCTTTGTTGGTAGTCTTACTTATATTTGCTTTATGTTCCTTATTAGTGATGAGTGAAATATGCTACGCCATGCTTACTATACAATTTCTTTGAGAGATTTTAATCAACACTCTGTCCCGCCCACATCAGCAACTTCAGACTAATCAAAAATATCGCAGTTTCAAAGTACTATACAATTACTATTACTATCAACTACGTCGACCCTCAAAGGAATGAAAACAAAAGAGGCTTTTTTAATTGCAGATGTGAAGGCTGATTGAACTGGATTGCAGGACTAGATCGACCCTAAAGAATAAACAGAATTATAAACATGACTTTTAAAAAAGCATATAGCTATCATGTTAGCACCAGCAACAGAGGAAGTAGTCACATCCTTTACCTAGGTAGGCTACTCAATGCAGAAAAATGTTAGACCATTTATCCTATACTGTTATATATTATATATCATTACATTAACAGCCTATCACTCATGCATTGATGAACAAACAGGCTATTTTGAATCCAAGTGCAACTATTGACTAATTTCATTAGGGATTAATCTGCTGATTAGTTTCTCCATTAATAGACTGACCGGTTTGTAAAACAGTAGTGAAACATGTCATCACACGACAGCGCAGCCAGACTGGTCCTGTCTCTACCTCCACTTACATTCACTCACTCTCACTCTCACTTTTGTGAGCCAGTAAAGTGTGTGTGTGTGTGTGTTTCTGGGGTCAGATCGGGTTCAGAATGAGTCCTGCTGTAAATCAGAGATTAGCAAAGGAAAGACAATGTGGCAAACTATTTCAATAGTGGATTTTATGGCCAATGTTTATATGCTCACTTTTATTGTTTGGGATTAAAGTAACAAACGAGACACATACTTTGATCTGCATGGAGAGATGTGGTTCTCAAAGGTGTTTGTTTTTGGGATATCCAAAGTAATCCGGTGCTGTTGATTTGAATAACTTTTGGTGACAGGCTATCAGCCTCCTTCCCTCTGCCATTTGTCCGCTGCATGTGTGTGTGCCGCCTGTTGTGGAGTCTGACAGGCAGTCAGTTAAGAAAGGTGTGCAGGTATTGTGTCTTCCCTCAGCCAGTACTAAGCAAATGTGCATGGTATGGTAACCATCAATTTTCATACAATTATACCGCTGCAAACCTAGGTGACACTATGCAAATCAAAGAATAGCTCTTTAATGGGCAGGTTTACTGTGGAATCTAGACCTGTCTTATCAGGCAGCAGGAGAAGGGGGCTCCTGGAAGCCAGCTGGGAACTGCACACCAGCTGAAAGCCATTGAGCTGGTAAGTGCAATTCTGAGTGACTGCACCTGTAAGTACACCATATTAGCCATTTTGGAAGGGGTCTGGGTGGACGGGGGGTGATAAAAGTTAGGCCAAAACAAAGGGACACAGGGACAACAAGGTCACTGTGGTACTTCACAGTGGGAGAGCCTGCTAGACTTTCACTCTGAAAAAAACACAGCCCTCCTCTTTCATTTTGAAGGGTGGAAGTGCGGTGACACAGCGGGGGGACCCTCAAGGAACGCATCCAAAATGACACAGCAGCATATGGCAGAAAAGTCTGGTTAAACATTTTCTGCAGTGTAACATGATGTCATCCAGCAAGGTTAGTCTATTAAGTTAGTTTTGGTCATATATTTAACAACCTCCATCAAAAGTAAAGCAAAATAAATGTCATTCCTCGTTTACTTTGTCCCACTCTCTCTCTGTGCAACTGAGAGCTCCTCCATGGTTGGCTGTTTGAAACTACTCGCAGTTCGAAAACCACTTCTTATAACCTTCGCTAGGTGGCAGGTGGGGCTAATTTATGGACTGTATTTTGAAAATACAGGTTAGAGAAACAGAATAGGGTAGAGAAACAATAGAAGGGCTGTAGGTGAGAGATGTGAGAGAGAGTTGTGACTTTAAACATAACGTAGAGTTTCTTAATACCTTAAGGTTAGGTTATCTCAGTTTCTCTATGCTGCTTGGAGCTGTTTCTCCAGGTTTGTGATTTTTGTCCAAGCATTTGTAGCTGTGTGGCTTCTCTCCTGACAAAACTCACTTTTTCTCTCAGCTGCATAATATTTGACCTGACAAGTCGTTTTTAATGACCAAGCCTCACTGCTGCAGTCATGTTCTTTTCCTGTCACTGTATTCTGTCTGCTCTCCTACAGCCCTAGTGTTAAAGTGCACACAGTAGCTCCAGGCTAACACTGTTGGTGTTGCCTTCCTGGGTGCTGCTGGTGTGCAGAGTCACCGGGAGGATGACTGACAATCAGGCACAAAATTGTGTGAGAGAACCATGCAATGAAAGAAGGGCATTGGGATTATGTCACAGTTTGAGAAAACAGTCCAACTGGATTTCCTTTTTCGTCAGTGAACCTGTCTGGAGATTTAGCCATGGTTACTGTTTAACTGATGTCTCTTATCTTTGTCTCAGATTTGTCACAAGGTGAAAGGTCATTGATGAATATTTTTCCTCACAGTTTTTGTTAATGTAATTAGCAAATTATATCAGTGATGATGCGCACGTGATATTTATATCACATGTACAACTTGCTTGCTAATGACAAAATTCAGAGATGTGTAAAAACATCCTTGAATGTTTCAGTGTTGGAGACTTACATGGGCGCATTTTCTTCTAAGGCTCCCTTTATAAAGTATAAGTAGTACCTTTATTTTCAGTTAGAAACTATGAGGACAGGCTTTGAGTTGCCAAGTTGTAAAAACACTTTTCGCTTGATGTTGTTTGTCAGAACACTTTCTAATAATAACCCGACCCTTAAATATTTGTAAGTTGTTACTAATGGTTTATCAAATGTACAGATTAATTATTAAATTAAAAAGAAAACCACTTAAATCTGCTTGTGTTTGGGGGGTGGGAAAAGAAGTATTAATATATCCTGGTGTGTTTTAAGGCATTGTTGACTTGTAGACTATGTCTAAACTGAAAGTCAACTTATATCTTAAGTAAAACAATTCCAAACTTTTAAATAAACAAATTAAGTACTATATCCCCCTCCATCAAATGGCATAAAGTAAAACGCTCACCTCCTCCAGGATCTGGTCCAGTCGGCCCAGGATAACGGGCTCCACCTGCTCCAGAGACAACATCCAGGCTGAGAGCTGCGCGTCCCGCTGCTGCTGCTCCAGACTTAATATCCTGGACTGCAACTCTGACGTCCGTATAAAAATTACAAGGCAAACTCCAAGGCACAGAACAAATACTGCAATGCAAATCGTTATGCCGGACAAATCTCGCAAGGTTCTCCACAGATGCTGCTTTGAAGGTTGCTGCCGCTGCTCGCAGCGTGTCCTCCTGTCCTCGGTCGCTTTACCAGCGACTCCCCACTTCTGATCCTCTTCCATATTAAACATCTAACTTTGGTTTTACGCACACGGAACCTTCTATAGGCTATTCATCTGGCGAGGTTCTGCAGAAAAGAAATCGTCCTAACGATGAGGCTGCTACCTTACAAGGGTCTCTGTCTCTCTCTGTTGAGGGAAAGTTTTGCTGATGTCCGTTTTCTTCTTCAAACTGTCTCCAGACTATCGTGGTGCACTCAGATGAGCAAATACATCTAAGTTAGAACAGAAGACATTCTGTAGATTGATATTAGTCAGTGATGTTCCAGAGTCACGGGACAGACTTTTACTCCACTGCGTTGTGCTGCGTTTGTCCCATTCACTGCTTCTCCCCGGAGCAGTCCCACTATGTGCTGCAGGTCATTCGTCAGTGCGTGTCTCTGAAACCCGAGTCAGTCTCTCTCTCTATTCTGCACAGCTCTGGATGCCGCGGGCCCTTTACTCCTACATGCTCCTCCTTTGAAAGGCTTTGGGTTAAATGCCGGGGCGGGATTCGTGGCGGTGTTGCTGCCTCTTTGATCCGTGCACTTGGTGAGGGATATTTTTAGCCAGGACGCACTGTCACACAGCTGGCATACTGACGGCCTGCTGACAAGTACTGCTCAGTTATGGATTAAAACAACGCAGGGCCCTGCTTTTCTTAGTCCGAATCTGTTTGTATGACCTGCTGGAATGAATGAACCTGTTGTGCGCGCTGGGCAAAAGCAACGACCTCATGTCTTGTCTTCATGACTTTGAGCATTTGCATTTCATGTTACGTCCCCTTCACAACATTCCAGAGCTAAGTAGTCCTTTTGTTGGTTTTATTATTCATCCCATTTGTATAAGGGCACTAGTTAGCTGATGAAGCAGCTCGTCCAACTTTCATCCTACTTCCATAAACCTTTGGCCACATTACTTTTCTTTGGTCACTGTCTACTTCTGGAGTCTTTGGGCTAGAAACTTTGATCAGACTTTTAAACATAGTTCTGTAGTACATTTATGCTATTAGTCTTCTGTTTATTCACTTTTACAGGCTACTTATGTGTCATTCAACTTTTCCATTGGTGTGTACTGTGCAGAATCTTCCCAGCGTAAACTCTGGAGGCTCTCCCCTTCATGGGTTTTCAGCTTCTTTGTCTGTTTTCTTCAGAGGCTTTAAGTGACACCATGAGACTACTGTGAACTGCAAGCAGCCACTATCTTTATAAAGTCCACATAAAACAAACTCACTGCCTTTTATACCAACCACTAGAGAAAATTAGATATAAGAGACTACTAGCAGTGAGTGTGACCAACATTATAGAATATCATAAAGATTTACATAAACCAGTGCCATGCAACACAGTATACAAAGAATAAATATAAAAAGTACAAAATCCTATAAATAATTCAATGCATATTTACGTCATATAACTTCAAAAATCGACACTGCTTCTGCCTCTACTCCCCTTCCTCATTAGCATGGTCTATTCCTACAGCTCTTAAGCAAGTATATCTCCTTTGTCCCCAAACTCTGATGAGGAAACAAGGAAAACGTGAGGACTTCCATTAGCTTAACAAAGCACAAACTAATAAATGTGGGTAAGACTGCTAAGTGAGTAACTGAAAAAAGAGTAGATTCGGGTCACAATGCAAATTAAAATATGAATTGTGAATACTACTAATTTAGATTTCCTTTCTACCCAGGCAGAATGGCCAGTCCCCCTCAGCAACACCCAATCACTGCCTGTTTAAAATGATCAATTATCACAATTCAAATATCCTCACAAATATCAGTGTGCAGTTATTCATTTAAAATTCAACGTTCTGTTTCAATCAGCCTAACACTAATGTCTCATGTAATGTGATGGAACACCTGGTCTCCATTTCATTCTGGAACTGCACTTTGTTTTCTGACAGGATATTTGGTTTTTGAGTAAGGTCACCAAAACTTCAAGGTGTCATATAAATCTCTAATTCAGTCCCATTGTAAGACCGGCTGGCCAGTCACATACTAACTGGCAAAACTAAAAATGGTAATTGTTGTTGCATTATTGTTTCCAAAGAAACAGGACACAATCAGGTGTGTAATTAAGAATTTCATAATCATTTCAAAACCGCACTGGGCAGCTGTGGCTCAGGAGGTAGAGTTTGTCTCCCAGGTGCAGAGTTCTCTACTTCAGACACTGAAGCGTCCTGGAGCAGGACACTGAACTCCAAGTTGCTCCTGGTGCTGTTCACTAGTGTGTGAGTGTAAATGGTTGAACAGGCAAATAGTGTAAAAGTGTTTTGGATGTGCTTCAGTGCATGCAAAAGTGCAATGCAAGTCTAAGTTCATTTGCTCTTTAAGCTTATTGTTTGTATACGACACAGTATACTGTATACTGCACCTGTCTTATGATATAAGCAGTCCCAAAGGTCAGACTGTTCAGTTTCACTCTAGTCATTTCATCTATAGAGCATTACTGTAATTTAGATAGATTCCTAAAATACACAGTATCAGCATCATATTCCTCATGCAAAATAGCAGAGTACAGTGTTGCAATGTGCCATTGCTGTGGAGAATTTACAACTAGCCGATAGTTTAAGCATGTGTTCATGGTCTGCAATGCTCTGTGCACATAAACGTTTGATGCTTGTCCACTGAACATTAAATGGCAGCATTAAGACTTGCAGCCATGCTGTTTTTATATGGTGGCTCCATATAACACTATGTTCATTAAAACCTAAAATTAAGGGATGTACTACTCTTAACAAATCCAGCAATTACTGTTGGCTTACTGCTTGGTCATAGGATAAATAAATAGCCTGTCATATGCTTGCCCTCATACAGTGTTGCATTTATAAAAAAAAGCATACTGGTGGTTTTTTCCGTGGTCTCAGGCCACCACAGATGGCTTTTGACACTGCTAATAAAGAATTTCCTGTCTTGTGTCTTTGCACTGTAATTGTTGTCAGACCAAGAGATGTCTCCTTGACTGTCAGCCACATCAGAGGATGTCATGCGCCTGCAGAATCACTACGTAATGAATGTATATACTGCAAGTCCTTGTAATTATAGCATGGTTCAGTGTGGCCAGCTGGCTTTGTGATTCTCTGAGCTAAAAAACACACTTTGAAAATGATCCTCAAAATGATAGGTACATTTACTGCAATCATGAGTTTCTATCAAATTAAAAGTGACTCATTGTGTTATAAGAATAACAGCTGTGATATAGATTGGAGTTATAAATTCAAAGAATTTACCTTTATCAGAAAGTCCCATTGAGATCAAGACCTCTTTTACAAGGGAGACCTGGCCAGGGTACTGTAGCTGCCATTTTAAAATCCATTACAGCATGATATACAAAAATCCATTTCCAAGATTAAACACAGTGGTCTCTCCCTAGATTCCTTCGAACTCCCTTAAATTGTCAAATTTTAGATCTTTCTACAAGTTGCTTCATGTCTAAGGGGCACAATAGGAAAATGTAGTTTTCCCCAGATCTGTAAAACCCCGAGGTACAATATTCATTAAACCTCAAGAGCATTTTGAAAACACAACGAAGTAATTAAATCCATGTATGTCACTGGGAGTGAAAATTCACAGGTAATAGAGGTGTCCTACTGTGTAACAAAGCCATGTGCAAAAACTGGGAAACCACACATCATTCTTAAGGATTTAATTTTACCTGCTGTCAAATACATGGTTAGAATGTGTGCAGCTAAACAAACTGTATTGTTTGTCAAACACAGCAAAGACCTGTGTTAATATTAAGGCTGAAGATGTGTTGGAGCAGAATAGCAAGCCACTTCTGTGATTTCCAGATTAATGAGTTGACACTGTGAGTTTGTCAAGTTTTTTATTTGTTGTCAGAGAATAAAATGAAGATTTTTGTTTTGTTTTGTTTTACAAACCTTTACCCTCATGTACTACAGTAGAAACCATTTCTGGATCTTGTTTCTTTAGGACAAAGCTAGACTAGCTGTTTCCACTCATGCTAGGCTAAGCTAATAAAGAATGTGAAAATATGTCACGCCGTGCTTAACACTGGGATGGGCTGCCATTTTGGGAGATATATGCTGTATTCATTTGCATACATTCTTGTTTTGTTTGACTAAAAAGTTGTTTAAATCAATTAGATCTCACTTTACTGACAGTTGTAATTCAGTTAGCAGCTGTTAGCAGATGAGACAAACACCAAAGATAAATCAGTTTCTGTCCTGTCTGTGCTCAAACTAAACACTAAAGTGGATGTTTGGATGTAGTTGAAGCATCTGCTACTGTATGTAGCTTTGAGAAATAGGATTTATGAAATTAATTTATTGATGTATGTAGTGTATATCTCTATGATGGATGAGCATGATCTTTCAAAATTCAACACAGCATGACAACAACCTCACATTCTCTATAGGTTGCTGGCTGTAGCTTTATATTTATTACACAGAAAAGGGGGTGGTTTTGATGATCTCATCTAACTCAGCAAGTATATTTGCCATAATGTTAAATAATTTCCTAACCTAAACCATATTTGATAAACATGTAAAAATAAAATTTTAAAATTTGTTGAATTGTCCACAATCAACATTATTGTCTGGTGATAGGTTTGTTCAGTCAAGCAAAGGCCAAAATGTGAATGTATTTTTCAGGTCTGTATTACTGTAGATGTGTACTCTTTCATATTCTTCATTGATCTATTTGGTCTGTACAGATGTGTCTCATTTAATATAATGGTTTAAAGCGCCAGTGGCAATCCCAACCTTATTCTAGCCAAGATAATAAAAATTTATGAAACAAAACCACAAAGGAAAATAAAATAGAAACAACGACACCCAACTATCCTACATCAAAATCATTATTAATGAGTAGTTACTGCAGATGATATATCTGGACTCCCTGAAAGGCAAGAATTGGTTTTGTAAAAAATCCACAGCTGCACAATTTAATTAGGCTAACCACAACGGTGAGTGAGCTCATTGGACCGTAATCTATTTTTGGAGACATTATGAAAAGTGCTGTTTCAGCACCAAGTCCTTCTCACTGGGGTTTGCAAGCACTTTTTTTGGTCATGTCTGCTGGTTGCGGACAGCGTGCTGAGACCCCAGCCAGTGGATTGATTTAGAAGCTGGGGTTTGGTCTGATCTGAACTTGAGCCTGAACCAGAACAACTAAGATGATTTAGATCTGACCAAACACATCTGGTCAAGATGTCACACACAGCACACAACCTAGTTTCAGTAGTACTTTGTCTCTCACCGAGCTGCCCATGACTGGCTGATTTGGTGAAGTAGGTAAACATAACCATAGGTGCTATGTGCAGCTGTTACGGCCTGTTTACACTAAGAGAGACAAGGGAACAGCTCAGATTTAAAGCAAACACCTTTTAGACATAAACTATCATAATATGATTTTAGCAAGCAGTGTATAAATGTATTAGTCAAAACTTATCGACTGATAATCCAAATCAAAGTAAGCACTATATTGAAAAGAATATACATCAACAACTCACA